CGAGTCTGAGCCCCAACTCGCCGAGTCCCCCTCACAAATCAACAAAATACAATTTACACGATACCTGATAAAAGTCCGGATGTTACAAATACCATTTTTTCTGGAATACAATAACATGTTTCATTAATACAAAATGAAACCTTAATATACCCAATCTAATGATCATAGTTGGATATTAACAACTCAACATATTCTAATGACAGGTTTGGTTCATCATTAACAAAGCACTTGTTGTAATATTTCCACGAATATGTGGCCTTATGACCATTTATGAAATAATTATTTAATATTTACTACATTTATGCATTATCATAGTAATTATGCCAATATGACATAATAGGTATCCCATCTTTCTTAAGTGTTACTTAATGGAAGTATGATAGTAACTATGCCAATATGACATAGTAGGTACCCCATCTTTCTTAAGTGTCCCTTAATGGAAGTAATTGAAAGTATATATGGGTAATTAGATTTCCTTTTAGATGTTCTCTAAGATACACAATACAGTAACGCGATTTCTCCTTCACCTGCCAGAGAAATAAATCCCCAAGAACACCAAATAAATGTGTGTGTAAATCTCCAGCAAAATGGAACATCATAACGGGAATCATGCCTTCATCTCCTACACCAAACATCATAATTGACCATTCAAGTACACATTCTTTTCTCTTATGTTTATGTTGAAATCTGTATTCAACTTGATAAGAAAGATTGTGGGATAAATTGATTCCTGGAAATAATTAAAATGTGGTATCAGAGCATTGGTACTCTTGATCAATTTAAATCAATTATGATCACATAACACATTAACATTGATTCCCGTTTTCTTCTGTTTTCTTATAGAAGATGTCTGCATGAAACTGAAATTGTTGAAGTTTTTCTTGATTGTTGTATGCAGGTCCGGTCCAATGGTTTTTCATGCCCAGGGCGAGATAAAAAAAAAATAATGCGCTTATTTTATATTCGTCTTAAAGAAAACTAAAAACATGCAGATAATAAAATACTTGTGCTAGTTTTTTAATCGGTTTCCATTAACCGGACCCTTGCTCATTTAGGTTTCAAAAGTAGCAGCAACCAATACAATAGCTTAGGATTTATAGGATTGAGACCAAATCTTCAATAAGTGGAAAATTTTCTTCATTAACAATAATAATTACTAAAACTAAAAATAACATGATAGTAACAGCAACAAACTCATGAACTATTTTTGCTTATAACTAAATCTTAGCAAATTCCAATCTCAATGTGCAAAATTTACGGTTAACATAAAGCAACTATTCATGAAAGTCAAAAGAGAAGTCCTTCGGTCCCTATACCAAAATTATACTTCTTTAAAAACAAAAAATTAAACACATCTTATTTTTGTTTTATAAGGACTAACAAGTGTATTTTTACTACTTTAGGGATTCCCTTTCAATTAGAAAACAAATTGCCTTATTTTCACTTTAACAAGCCATGGCAATCTTTATGGTTTCCAAATAACATCAAGAACACTTGACACTCAATATTCTTCTTTTTTGTTGTTTATTCTTGTTTTGGTTTCATCATTGCTCTGAGTCTGCAAACACATATAAAACAAAAACAACACAAATCAGTAAATTAAAAACTAAAAGTTGTTGAATTAAGAAATATGGAATAACAGTTTTAGAATTAGAAAAATGTGCAACTAATGAAGTCAATATTCAAGGATTCACTAAACTAACGAAATTCATAAATAAGAAAATTAGAAAGAACTGAGATTTTAAGAAATAAAAAACAAAACTCTGTATTTCAGAAATTTGATTTCTGCTTTTCCTAATAATAAAAAACAAAACTCTGCTTACCAAGTCTCCAAAGAAACTTCAAAAATCTTGTATCCATAAATCATTGAATTATCAAGATTGCACTTATGAAATCAGATAAGATTTATAACACGTCTAAAAGAAGAAGTCATATTAGATTTATAACACATCTAAGAGAAATCTGATGAGGGAGGAGATGGGATATTGATTTTTCTACCTTTTTTTTTATCTTCATGGCTGGAGGCTTGAAATCGAAGGCAGCCTTGAGTCATCATCTTCTCTAATCTACAGGGCACCGATATCAATTTATATATTTTAGTTTAATGCCAAACGAATATATCATATATGCTATGCGTCCCCAATACATTCAACCAACACCCAACGGCTCAAGAACCGAAGCGATTCTCGTCTATCGTGCGAGCGTTGCTGGTGTGCCTCCGTCTCTCAGATCTAGCGCCCACCCTAACTAATTAAAGATTACAAGCTTTGGGCCACGTTTTAGTTTGGGTTAAATATTTACATATTACAGGTAACAGGCCTAACTTGATGCCCCTTCCAAGGTTGCTGCTCTGGGCCTTTGCCCAACTCGCCCAGGTACCTAGGTCGGGCCTGGTTGTATGAAATCGAAACTGAAATCAATTAAGTGTCTTAATACTGTAAGTGGGAATTCACAAAATTTCGATTTCAAACCTTGAATTCGATCAATGTGTAGATTCAAATACTTTTTATTTTTTCATAGCAAGTTCCTTCTAACATATAAAAAAAGATTTTCTTTGATTTTTCATCAAACACGAGTTTATCTTCGTTTCCTTATTAACGTATAATATCAAAAAAGAATTCATTAAACTTATCCAATTAATTTCTTATTGATGGATTCTCTCATCGCGATTCAATCCACGATGTTATTTTTTTGTTCTTAAATGGGTCTCTTTAATCTTCTAACGTTTATCTTCTACTAGGTAAAGATCGCCTGATTTTGATTTTGAGATATAGTACACATGTCAAATTTGTTTTCTGCTTGTTTTTTTTAGACGCTTAAAAAATGAGGCGCCATGTACCATTCATTTACGCCCTACTGGTTTGACGTCATATTGGCCCAATTATCATTTGTTTTAGGCTCACAAGTTATGGCCCAAATTCACTTTATAATTGAAATTGGCCTAATAGATATACATGTCTATCATAGTGAATAAAATAAAATTTAACTGTTAGTAAACGCAAACTAATATATGATTGTTTTATAAATGCCAATAATAATATCAACATTTATGGGTTTGTATGCTATTTTATTTATTTATTTATTTATTTAATTATTATTCACGTATTTGACAAATTTAGCCTTATGGCCTGATCTATGTGGTATATTACCCGGTCATCTATATTTTATAGTCCATCTTTTGGTATGTGTGATCGAGAATTTAAGATCAACAGTCTTCAAGGATATAGAAATCGTTAATCAAATGGTGAGTGGTTTGTGCACTTTCTTTTTATTTATCGTTTAGAATTAGGTTTTCAAGTTTGTAATGAACAACTTTTATAACATTTTGCTTTCTTATTTTCGTTTGGGAATTTGTGGAAAAATGTAGTTACTAAAAAAACATAGTATATCACTATATTGTTATTTCATGGTGATGATGTGGATTTACTTTTCAAGCCTAAAATGGACTATTGTTTCCATTTGTTTTCGAATAGTTTGTTTGTACAAATAAGCACACAAATAAAGAAAATTCCTATGAAGCCTGGTTAAAAATATTATTTTAATGATGCAAACCACTTACAAACAAAAGTTCAATGTCATTATTATCTATTTATTTATTTATTTGAGATGCTAAAATGCAAGGATACCAGCTTTTAAGCTGAGTGATATAACATTCAGTAATAGCATTTTACTTTAAATATCAATGTACAATTTATTTGTCTTTTTACATTTCTAAAATAGTAATGTAATTTCTCCTTCTGATTTTTTTTTCACAAAAGGGAAAAAAAAGTATATACTGCAAGAAGAAATGAACACAGGATGTTATTAAGTGAAGTATCTTGTTTTTTCTTGCGTTAATCATAATTATGACATTCATTGAAATTTTATTTGTTGAATATCTAGAGTTTGCAATTGCATACACACTTTATGTGTTTCTTGCAGTTCCCGCAAAAGAACTTGAAGAAATAATTGTTTCTTTTCAATGAAATGTGATGTCAGCATGCTTTGGGTGTATTACTAGGACAATTTTATTGTTTGTTCAGAATGTTATATATTTCTCACATTTATTCCTACTTGAAAGTTGAAACTATTATGTACTTACACCTACGGTAGCGAAGTGAAGTTTCAAACTCGTTGTTTTCTACTGAACTGATAGGAAGGTTAGAAATGGTTTATAAATGCAAGAGTAATGTACAAAGAGGAAGGAAGCTACCCATGAATCCAAGGGCATAAAGGGCCTCCTCATAACTAAATTCAATGTACGTTTCATTCTAAAATCTTTGTACATGTTACGGAAACATTATAATAACCTTTCGTTTTTGAAAACATTACACACAATGTGTCCCATGGTTCCTTTTGCTTTTCATGCCTTAACTCTACACTTTTGTTGTCTTCGGCTTCTCAACACCATTCACAACCACCAACAAGTCATTAGGTTGCCCATGATTTGTAATTATGAGGGATAATGAAGATCATCCATTCTGGTACAGGTTTGTTAACTTGGGTCAAGTATCACTCTCGCACACAAGACACTCGCATAAATTTGCAATACAAAAACTCATGTACACATCATTACTTGTTAACGACAGCATAAAAGAAATCTACCATATAGGCTTACATTAGGACCAAAAGAAACATAATGTTTACCACTACACAAAGGTATAAATAAATAAACTGAAATACTCTAAAATCAAAGATAAATGCATATGAAGGTGTTGCAATTCAATACGGTTCTTACAACCAATGGTAAAATTCACAACAGGTTTCATATTCTAAGATTATATAAACTGTAATGTCTTCTAATTGCCATTGTTATTATATAGATTTGTAACCATAAGCCCTAATAAGTTGATGATTTTGATACAATAAAATAAAGTTTATGCAACAAGATGCATCAAACATGCGTTAACTTTTCCCACAACAACATGAGTTTTTTATCAAAGAAAAAACATACAAAGCATACAACCTCATTCACTAATGTCATTTCAACTTGTCACATTCATGACTTAAGCAAATCTCAAGCCCCTTTGCCATTATATTACATACATTATTATATTCCATGTTGCTAGCATCTTCACACAAGTCTGCAATCAAAGACAAAGGTATGATAGGCATAGACAAAATAATAATAATAATAATAATAATAAAGTAAATTACATTTTTGGTCCTGGCTTTCTCAATTTTAGTCCCAAAAAGTTGTTTTAAAAATTGTTCCAAGCAAAACGGCTATATTTCCAATAGTTGCTTATACTAAGGGACCAAAAACGTAATTTAGTCTTTTTATAAACACAAAATATATTATGAATACTTGCAGCTTAAATTCCATTTAGGGTGATGACAACTTTACGTGCAGTAGGTGCATCACGATGCTCACACAGCCATATCCCCTTCACAAAACGCATTCACATCAGTTTATCAAATAATGACCACCAATATTATTATATCAAGAAATCATTAATTATTTTTTCACCCAAGAGTTTACTATTGACCTGCCAAGTTCCCATGTTAAGCTGTCCATCTGTAATTGGTATCCTGACAATTTATAAGTGTCAGTGGAAGTGGAACTGATGAATGCATACATAAGAAGAAAAAGAAAAAACTAATATATAATATCCATCCATACGTGAGAGCACACCCAAACATTGATGACTTAATGTGTGCTGGCATATCATCTGGACCTGCATTGCATATACACAAACTCCATGTCAGCAAAATCAAGAAACATGCACACATCACATGATTCATGAATCATGAATGTACAAAAGTAACCTTCAATGGTATGTTTCCAGGGTGCAGATCTTCCCTGAAACAAAACAACGCTCAGTGTCAGTGTCAGTATTAGTATCATAAGAAAAGAAAAACCACAAACCTACCTCTGGGACAACTCTGTTGAGAAAAGTTTCCGTGTCAGCCCTGACATCTGAGTCGTAGTTTTCATTGATGGTCAATGATGCACTCGTGTGCTGCACTGTTTTCAATTATTATTATTATTATTATTATTATTATTATTAAAAAAGCATATGTTTGTTTAATGATGATCTGTTGTTTGTTTTTTAGTTCGCTAACTTACAAAAGAGATTTGCAAGACCACATTTAAATCCAGACAAATCTTCTCCAATTTCCTTCAAGATCTGGTACAACCCATGAGTAAATATGTATCAATTATCTTCACAAAATCAGAGACCAAAGAGAATGTGATACTTTTGATAACTGATATTGTTTGCTTTAAAAGAACTCAAACAAATATTAGTGATTTTTAGGGCAGCTATATAAATATTACAAGACTGGGTGAAAACCAAATGAAAAATCTTTTTGACACATCAACATTCTTCTAATCGTTGGAGCCACATGTCATAGTCAATTGACAGAATAGTTAGCCCTTAATAATATGACATTAGATCATGAGCAAGAAGTAAAGATGACAGATTTCTCATCGTGACAAATTGGACAAGACTCAAGAGTCGTGGATAAAATATGAATCTTCTCCATTTTTTTGTCTCTCATAAAAAAAGATCCTTTCCCTAATTTCCATAGAACCCTAATTCTATGGAAATGAACTGGAGCAACGCCATTGCAAAATCTCAATCAGATGTTATTCATTGGGATTTCAGTTTCTCCTTTCGATTATACTATCCAGAATAGTACCATATAGAGCAGCATATAGGAGCCCGTAGACATTATTAAATTACACTGAGATGTTACTGTTGTACGCATAATCGGTACACGATCTCTATATATATATGAATAAAATAAAAGCATAGCTTAGTAAAGAGTATTTGCCTTGGGAGTTATAAGATGACAACCACGTTTCTGAGGAGGGAGGGTTATTGTCTTCTGAGCCCATTTCGGAGCCGCCATGACCGAAGGATCGCCGAAGGTTCTCGGCGTCGGAGTATAGAGAGCTTTCACCGGAAACGAAGATTTCGCCGACCTTTTGACCCCACCGAATGGAGCTGCGGCTGTTGCTGACGACAATGACACGGACGATTGCATTTCCACCGATTGCCCTTATTTTTGAACCGAACACACTCGCTAGTTAGCGAAAAAGTGAATCTGGGCTTGTGCGGCGTAACAGTGATACACGCAGCTTCATTTAAATTTTGACCACGAAATAAGGCATGAAGCCCAAAAAGTTTCCTGAGCCATTATTTTGTATGGTTTATGGTCCGCGATTTTTCCTAGTAGATTATTCTTTAATTCAGAATTGTGTTTATCGTTGAAGATATATATATTTTTTTTCATGAACGTACTCTCTCTATTAATGGGAACTAGCGGAAAAACTCGGGTTTCGCTAGGAGTGTAAATGAGACAAGCCAACTCGCGAGAAACTCGAGACCGATTCGGAAAATACTCGAAATCGACTCGACCTTAATCGAGCCGAGCTCGAGCTACTCGAGTACCTTATCGAGCCGAGCTTGAGTACAAAAATACTCAGCTCGTAAGACTCGCAAGCTTAATTGAGCTTAGTGTAATTTGCATATATGTTATTTCTTTATAATTGTTTATTTATAGATATATGTCATTTCTTTATAATTATTCATTTATGATATATATGGTTGATGTTATATTGATATTAGGTGGTTAATAGTGGTTTTTTTGGTAGTTTGGACATTTACATGTGGAATGTTTAATATTTTTTACTCAATTTAGTGATTTTGATATTTTTAAATATTAGTCGAGCCGAGGCGAGGCGAACTCGAGACCGTCAAGTATTTCACGAGCCCAAGCTCGAGCTTAAAATCAAGGCTCGATTCGAGTTCGAGCTGAGTTTCAAGCTCGAGTATTTTAGTCGAGCTTGGTAGTATTCGGCTCGACTCGGCTCGTTTACACCCCTAGGCTTCGATACATGTCTTTTTTGTGAAAAAAATATAAAAGTTTTGATTGTAAAAACCAAAAATGTCAAAATGGTTAAAGAATTAAAGGGGTTGAAATTAGCAAGTTTTTAGAAAAAAGACCAAAGCTGTCAATTCCTTAAAGTTTTGTGGTTAAACTTTAAATATTAAAAGGTTCCTCAAAAATATAAAAATTTTGATTCCAATGACCAAAAGTGTCAAAATTATGAAAAAAAAAATGTAAATTTTTTTATTGTAAAGACTAAAAATGTCAAAATGACTAAAGAATTAAAAGGGTTGGAATTTTAGATTAGTAGGGGCTTAGACATATATCGTGTTTATATATATATATATATATATATATATATATATATATATATATATATATATATATATATATATATATATATATATATATATGATACAAAATGGTATAGTATGGTGAGTTTGGGTACATAAGCTTATATACCCTTATAGGTAATTGTACAATGTTCTTATAATTAAACTTCTAACTTGATTTACTTCCAAAAATTTTATAATTTCACATTTATCTTCCTCTCATATAATTTTCATTTTAAACTATAACATGTATAACCTAATAAGTGTTCGGTAAAAAAAATATAATGTAAGAGGAAGATAATAGTGAAAATTTGAAAATCTTGAAAGTAAATCAAGTTAGGATTGATGTTTAAGAACATTATAATGAATATATAAAAAAAATGACATTTTATGATGAGTTTGGGTACCTAAGCTTATATACCCTTAAGGGTATATTCACTTTTCATATATATATATATATATATATATATATATATATATATTATATATATATATATATATATATATATATATATATATATATATATATATATATATATATATATATATAATAAACCATTTGAGTGAGATATATATCTATATTGAATGTGAGTTTATAGTAATATATCATAAAAGGAGATTGTAATATGGAAAGCAATTTAAGTTTGATGTTTTTAATAAATAATGAATAATTTATGTCAAAACATTAATATCCAATAACATTAATTACAATTTAATACATAACGAAGGAGATGAAACATATAGTTGACGGTGGGCTTTGAGTGGTAATACACTAATATCAATGGAGTTAGGGGGCATAACACCCACTAGCCCCTTATTGGCTCCGCCTATGCTCAAGTGTTCCATCGGGAGGAAGGTTTTCGATGTCTAAACTGGATCAAAACTCAATAAACAAATATGTAGAAAGCTCATTAATGAAGATCTTACTGAGAGTTGGATGGCATGTGATGAACTTGAACATAGCCCAAAGCCACTTTGTCAAGAACAAAGTGTATGTCGATCTCGATATGTTTTATGAGTTAATGGTGGAGCGTGTTAGCAGAAGGGTAGCCAACACCCATATTTTCATAATATACAATCATAGTTTTGGTCGGTGAAAAATGTAGTTCTCGAAGAAGGTTTCAAAGCTAACAGATCCCAACCACAACATTTGGCCCCCTTTAATACTCCACATTGACATTGGATCGAGATATAACATTTTTTTCACTAAAAGTTTGGTACCAAGAAACAAACGACTACCCTAAATGGATCAAAACCAACAAACGCGAAAGGCGTTAAGTTGTAGTCCATGGTCGAGAGTGTCATGGATGTAATATAGAATGCATTTAAAGTGTTGAAATGTGATTTCTTACGATTATACTTGAATAGACATATTTGAGGAATTATGCATGTCATATCATGATGGTTAAAAGTAAGGTACTTGAGAGTTCAACTCTCACTTGGGATGAAAAGTATAAGTTTAGGAGTAGAGTAGTGGTTGTGTGTGTAACTCGTTCTACAAAACTTGAGAGCACATATTAGGCTATTATAAAAAGTTATATTCATTCGTCTAGATGTCCAAGGTATCGAGCTTACATAGGTATCTGACAGATGTGTGACGTACTTTGTAGTTAAGCATACATGTACGCTTGAGGATCTTGATGACATATTCTTACCAATAAACACGACATTCATGTTTTATGTGAATTATATACCAAGAAAATAGTCAAGCTTCTCATGATCTGTCATTAAGAAATCTTAACGGGTTCTAGAAACAGTATATGAAGAAGATACATATAGAATATAAAAATTTATGGATTTAATGGAAATACATATACATATATCTTTTTAGAGATTCATCGTGTGGTTAAAGTTTATCATTGACTTATATACATAATTTTCGCAAAACCATGATATTTGCAATTATATATATATATATATATATATATATATATATATATATATATATATAGAGAGAGAGAGAGAGAGTAAGTGTGTGTGATGTGTGAATGTTTATATATATATATATATATATATATATATATATATATATATATATATATATATATTAATTGCTCAAGTTTTAATTTATAAAATTGATTTAATCGCAACCGGACTAATACACGCACTAGGCAGTAAACATAATCATGCAATAGTATAGCTAAAGTAAGGCCATGTGTCGAACACTTGGGGAACGATAGTGAATTAATATTAGAATTTTTATTATAGGTTAAACTAAACATGCAAAAACAATAAAAAGGGGGGTTTGATTTTTAAACTTCAGTGGACATAAAAGAATCATTAAAGATAATTAATTGGAAACAAATCACTTCGGGTAATTTGGTTTAGACAAAATCACATCTCAAAATCATAAATAATTACTAATTGGGCAATTAACATTTATTCATTGTATACTAATTCCTAATATGACTACTTTCTAGGTTTAGACAACTAATCATTTGTGTTTTAAGACTTTTAATTGCAATGATCATGTGGACTAATTATCTTAAAAATTAGTGCTCAATTCATATTATGAGAGAATTGAATTATTAGCATCAAAGATCATGAAGTTACTACACATAAATGGTCATCATATGTATTCTTACACATTAAAATTGCAAACTTTCCTATTTGAGCATAGGTTTTGATCAAACACTAGTCATAAAAATTTATTACAAACTTTCCTATTTGAGCATAGGTTTTGATCAAACACTAGTCATACAAATTTTATGAATGTAAAATTAATATAATTCAAGCAAACTTAGATAGATTGATTGTCTAATATGTGAATTACACAGCAATAAATAGTAATGCAAGCTACTTTAACGCATAAAGATCTCTTATAAAGCAAACATAATAAATTAAATAAGAATAAATAATCTAAATAACAAATTAATTTATAATCTCAAAGGTTCATCTAGTCTAACACAAAATAATAGAAATTTGAAACCGTAAATCAGAAAGTAAAACATATGAAAGTTGTAAAGAAATGCTAATCTCGGTTGGAACAACAATCCGAATGATTTTCAGCATGATTCAACTCTCTAATCCTCTAAATCTCTGCTCCATATCAACTTAACGGCCCTCCAGCCTCCTGCAAGACCCTCAAAGCGATAGCAATATATGTTACTTCTTCAACCATGGTGGTTTACAAATCTGAATCCCCCTTTAGGTTAACAATAAATGACTATTTGTAGCAATTTCAGCCGACACCCTACGTCGAGCGTAATTTATGCCACATTGAGCGTAGGTCATTAAATCCGCATATTCTACGAGGGAACCTAGGTACATCGAGCATATGATACCTTGCTACGCTGAGCGTATGAGCTTATTTCAACATTAATCCTTATCTTCACATTCTAGCTCTATTTTCCATGTCGTTTGCTACCCTTTTGCTCTAGCAACATATTATATTTGTAAAATATTAATTCAAAGTTTTATAAGTACCTTTTCTTCCAAATAATATCAAAACATAGCATAAAATAATAAGGTAACACCTAGAATATTGTAACACCCCAATTCTGGTATGATATTTATATTGTTATTTATTGTCATAATTCTTCAAGTTTTAAGGGGAACTCGACGAGTCAGTAGCCGGACTCGTCGAGTTGGGTCGCGATTTCGAGCACGTTTAAGTTGGCGACTTGGCGAGTCCATATTCCGGACTCAGTGAGTCCGCCAGTCTGGATGAAACCCTAATTTCAAGGGTTTGCACCCTATATAAACAACTTTTGGGGCCTCAAATCAGCCCCCATCACCCCTCAGAGCATCATACTCGAACCCTAGAGCCCTCTTTGCATTTTTGTGTGATTTTGGTGTGTTCTTTGAAGATTTTGAGAGATA